GAACTCCTACCTCCGGTGATTTGCCCACCTCAGCCTCCCAAAGTGCTGTGATTAAAGGCATGAGCCACCACACCTGGCCATTCATTTTTATAGGTCACAGGTTAATACAATTCAAAATCTAAAGAATGGGTACAGGGTTTCAGTTTGGAAAGATGAAATTCTTGAGAATGGTGGTGACAGTTGCACAGTGTGAATGTACTTAATGCTACTAAAGTGTACACGTAAAAATGGTTAATATGGTAAATTTTGTTATGTATTCAGATTTTTGTAACTGTGTTAAAATAAACAATGTATCCCACAGGCAGGATTCCTCTAACTCCTATCTTTATTCACCTCATTTCTTCCCCATTCATGCTCTATAGATATGACTACTTTTATTACTCAATATCCTTTTAGTGTTTTTTTAAAATGCAAATTCTAGCCAAATCAGGTATATGGTCTTATTTCCTCCACCCTTCAGTTTTTTACATTTTTTTCATCTGATAACGTACCCCAAATCCTTTCCTAATGAATACAGTGCACTTTATTTCTTGTTTTTTTTGTTGTTGTTGTTGTTGTTTGCTTGTTTTTTGAGACAGAGTCTCACTCTGTCGCCAGGTGCCAGGCTGGAGTGTAGTGGCACAATCTCGGCTCACTGCCAAGTTCCGCTTCCCAGGTTCAAGCAATTCTCCTGCCTCAGCGTCTCGAGTAGCTGGGACTACAGGCGAGTGCCCCCACACCCAGCTAATTTTTGTATTTTATTTTTAGTAGAGACGGAGTTTCACCATGTTGGCCAGGATGGTCTCAATATCTTGACCTCGTGATCCACCTGCCTTGGCCTCCCAAAGTGCTGGGATTACAGGCTTGAGCCACTGTGCCCAGCCTCCTTATTTCTTTTTTAAATAGCTGCCTCACTTTCCATTGCGTAGATGTTCAATCATTTATTTAGCTGGTCCAACTTCATTCAACATTTGGTTGTATCAAACACTGTACTGTCACAACTAACACTTGTCCAGCGATGTGGTCTCACTCTGTTGCCCAGGCTGGAGAGCAGTAATGTGGTAATAGTTCAATGCAGCCTCGAACTCCTGGGCTCAAGTGATCCTTCCAGCTCAGCCTCTCGAATAGTTGGCATTACAGGCAAGCGCCATCACTCCCAGTTGAAATTTTTTATTTGAAGGCTTTCTTTCTTTCCTTTTTCTTTTCTTTTTTTGAGACAGAGTTTCACTCTTGTTGCCAAGACTGAAGTGTAATGGTGCAATCTTGACTCACTGTAACTTTTGCCTCCCGGGTCCAAGTGATTCTCCTGTCTCAGCCTACTGAGTAGCTGGGATTACAGAGGCCTGCCCCTACACCTGGCTAAATTTTGGTATTTTTAGTAGAGACGGTGTTTCACCATGTTGGCCAGGCTGGTCTCAAACTCCTGACCTCACATGATCCACCTGCCTCAGCCTTTAAAATTGCTGGGATTACAGGTGTGAGCCACCGCACCTGGCCTTTGAACCTTTTTTCAAATCTGCATTTTCATTTTATTTATTTTTGAGATAGCCTCGGTGTCACCCAGGCTAGAGTCAGTAGTGAGATCTCAGCTCACTGCAAACCTCCACCTCCCGGGTTCAAGCAGTTTTCCTGCCTCAGCCTCCTGAGTAGCTGGGAATACAGGGACATGCCACCACACCCAGCTAATTTTTGTATTTTTAGTAGAGACAGGGTTTCAACATATTGGCCAGGCTGGTCTTGAACTGATCTCGTGATCTGCCCAACTCAGCTTCCCAAAGTGCTGGGATTACAGGTGTGAGCCACTGCACCTAGCCTCAAATCTACATTTTATACTGTTATTCTGCTCACTGCAACCTCTGCCTCCCAGGTTCAAGTGACTCTCCTGCCTCAGCCTCCTGAGTAGCTGGGATTATAGGTGTATGTTACCAAGCCCAACTAATTTTTGCATTTTTAGTAGAGATGAGGTTTCACCATGTTGACCAGGCTGGTCTCAAACTCCTGGCCTCAAGTGATCCACTCACCTCGGCCTTCCAAAGTGCTAGTATTACAGGTGTGAGCCACTGTGCCCAGCCTTCCTTTTACCTTTTGGGTTACCTGGTATTCAATTGTAGGTAAAGCATTTTCTCTTATGATTTGAAATGTGGGGGCTCTGAGCTCGTTTTCGACAAGGCTAATTTTAGGTAACCCCAGCCAGGGGCGGTGGCTCATGCCTGTAATCCCAGCTCTTTGGGAGGCCGAGGCGGGCAGACTGCCTGAGCTCAGGAGTTTAGGACCAGCCTGGGCAACATTGTGAAACCCCCGTCTCTACTAAAAAAAAAAATTAGCCAGGCATAGTGGCATTCACCTGTAGTCCCAGCTACTCAGGAGGCTGAGGCAGAACTGCTTGAACCTGGGAGGCGGAGGTTGCAGTAAGCCGAGATTGCGCCACTGCACTCCAGCCGGGGTGACAGAGTGAGACTTCGTCTCAAGAAAAAAAAAAATATATGCAACCTCAGAATTTAAATTTTCAGACTGTCACTCTTCATAAAGTATTAGGCATAGGTGCCTAAGCGTAAAGCCAGTCCAGGGAGATTCCTGATGTTAATGTAGAACTTCATGTATCGACAGACCACATAAAGGGTATATACCATGAAAATCAAAATGCACATGAACACAAACTCCTGGTCAAAAAACTTCAAGGGATGATTCCGTTCCGTCTCTCCCAATCCAGAGCCCAGACCAAACCAGCCAATTTTCCCTTCACTTCCCTGCGCTGGGGGTGGGGGCGCAGGTTTTGTTTAGTTTTCCAGTTCACCTACAGGCATAGCCCTTAAAAGGATCCTGGCTTGGCTGGGCGTGTTGGCTCACATTTGCAATTCCAGTACTTTGGGAAGCTGAAGTGGAAAGATTGCTTGTGCCCAGGAGTTTGAGACCAGCCTGGGAAACACAGCAAGACCCCATCTCTACAAAAATATTTTAAGATAAAATAAATAAGGGTGAATCATTTACACACATTATCTAATCTTAAGCCCCAAAGTTCACTGTGCCATGTGGGTTTTTAGTTTCCTTTTAGTTCTCTCTGGCCACTGGAGATTGTAGTTTATGGTGAGCTGATTTTACTTATTCTTTTTTTTTTTTGAGACAGTCTCACTCTGCTGCCCAGGAGGCAGAGTTTGCACAGTTGCCACTACAACCTCTGCCTCCCAGGTTCAAGTGTTTCTCCTGCCTCAGCTTCCCGAGTAGCTAGTATTATAGGCACGTGCCACCACACCCGGCTCATTTTTGTATTTTTGGTAAAGATGGGGTTTCACCATGTTGGTCAGGCTGGTCTTGAACTCCTGACCTCATGATCTGCCCACCTCAGCCTCTGAAAGTGCTGGGATTACAGGCATGAGCCACTGCGCCAGGCTGGTGAACTGATTTTTATCATAGGTCGACCCAGCGTTTCCACATGTCCTGCGATATATAAAATACACATCATTTGTGTGTTGCACAGCATTTAAATTACCCCACTGGGGCACAGAGCAAGGTCGTAAAGACCATGGAGTTAGGCACATGAATTTGAATCCTGGCTCTAGCACATTAATAGCTCTGGAATCCTAAGTAGTTTCTCTCTCTAGAGTTTCTTCTTCTGCAAAATCAAGATAAAGTTAATCAGAGGACTATATGCTTAAAGGATATAAAATGCTTAGTACAGTGCCCAACATATATTAAATAAGAGTGGCTGCAATAGTAGGCAAATTTCCAAACTATTTACATATACGTACAACTATTGTTTCCCATTGGTATTTACATCCTAACAGTACCAAACTCTGACCATATTTAATAGTGAACAAACTTACTTCTAAAAGAATCATGCACTAAAGATTATCATAAGAAATAAAGTGCTGATGTGAAATATAAACCTTTTATAAAACAAGTCCAAGTTAGAAACAACATATTTAGTACAGAATTTTCTTGCCATGGGGACTATCCAAAAATAGAACAAGCTGCCTCACAGAAAAGGGAGGTGGTCACTAAGTAAGTATTCAAAACCAGAAAGTAAGAACTGCTTAACAGATCAGAGGGATTTCTATATTCGGAAAAGTCAGAAGTCAATGATGAAATAAGGAGAAAAACTAATTGGATAACTGATTATCGACACTAATTTTAAAATCCCAGTGACTCCTACATTAAAAAAAAAAGAACAGGTGCAGTGGCTCATGCCTATAATCCCAGGGCTTTGGGAGGCTAAAGCGGGTGAATCACCTGAGGTCAGGAGTTCGAGACCAGCCTGGCCAACATGGCGAAACCCCGTATCTACTAAAAATAGAAAAATTAGTCCAGGCGCGGTGGCTCACAGCTGTAATCCCAGCACTTCGGGAGGCTAAGGTGGGCAGATCACCTGAGGTTGGGAGTTCGAGACCAGCCTGATTAACGTGGAGAAACCCCATCTCTACTAAAAATACAAAACTAGAAAGGCATGGTGGCACATGCCTGTAATTCCAGGAGGCTGAGGGAGGAGACGCTTGAACCTGGGAGGTGGAGGCTGCAGTGAGCCAAGATTGAACCATTGCACACCAGCCTGGGCAACAAGAGCAAAACTTCATCTAAAAAAGAAAAATCAGCCAGGTATGGTGGTGGGCTCCTGTAATCGCAGCTACTCAGGAGGCTGAGGCAGGAGAATCACTTGAACCCAGGAGGCAGAAGTTGCAGTGACCTGAGATTACACCACTGTACTCCAGCCAGGGCAACAGGGCAGGACTCCGTCTCAAAAAAAAAAAAAAGGTTATAAAAGATAAACACCAAATAAAACTTCTTAAGTAGGTAGAAACACTGAAAACCAAATTTGGGAATTTTTTTTTAGCTGATTAAAACTGAATAACATGAGATTATTTCTTATGCCTGGTTCCATTCTAAGCCAACCATACCATCATCAAAATTTCTCTCTGAATATATATATATATTATATTTAAGTACATTGTTATTTTCCTCCTTTTCATCAGATATTTTCCAAATGTTAACATTCAAAATATTAAAATACTTATTAAAAAAGTCAGAGAAAAGTCAGAATTAAATTTTATTTCACATTGATAGAAACCATGAAAAACATTTACATTTTCCCATGTTACAGCACAACAATTCAACGGAATATTTCTTGCCATAAATAATATCTTGCTGATATTTAGAACTGAAACAACCGTTTATGTTCTTCAAGGTAAAGAAAAATGACATAGTAAATGATTGTTTAAAATGTTTAAATCCAGACATAAACATATGGCTTCATTATTAACATCCTATATAGTCCATTACTAAATTATTTCCATTATTGATTAGCACCCATTTATAAAGATGCATTCTTAATATGGTTTTGGTCAGCTGGAATACAGCAGAAAAATTAACAGAGTTCAGAAATACCAAGCATACATTTTTGCTACATATTTATCTGGTAACTACACTTTATTCATAGGGCTCTGACTAGCCTTTATAAATACTCATTGTTTGTTTTCAAATACTTTTTACCAGTGATCTGGAAATTTTGACAATTTAAAATGATTGCTATTTTTATGTTTGGACAAAAAATACAAAAAATAATTTGACTGAAGTGAAAATTTCAAATAAGCCCACTGGCAGATGAAAATAAAGCAAAAAATTACAATAGACTCATCTTCTATAGTAATTGGTTTCAAATGTGTAAAAAGTAAACTCTATGCTATAAGGAGATGAAATCATCTTAGAAATTAGTTTTCAAGATCAGTCTTAAACATTTCAGAACATGGCCAGGCATGGTTCTTGACAATAAACAGCATTATCCCTATTATTAGGAATAATATATTACCACCTCATTCTTATTATGTATTACAATCATGATGTATCTGTGAATACATATATAAAATACAGACACTGCATGGTGACTAAGCAATTTTGGAATAAATCCATAGACTAAGTCACAACATGCATAACTGTTTATATCTTAACTGCTCATTTATAACTGAACAAATTTGCACTAGGCATACTGCTAATTTTCAAATCACAGCTGTAATCCCAGCAAGTTGGGAGGCCAAGGTTCTTGGGCAGATCACGAGGTCAGGAGTTCAAGACCATCCTGGCCAACATGGTGAAACCCCATCTCTACTAAAAATACAAAAATTAGCTGGGCATGGTGATGCATGCCTGTAATCTCAGCTGGTTGGGAGGCTGAGGCAGGAGAATTGCTTGAACCAAGATGGGGAGGCAGAGGTTGCAGTGAGCCACGATCATACCACTGCACTCCAGCCTGGGTTACAGAGCAAGACTCCGTCTCAAAAAAAAATTTCAGAACATACTAGAATATGATCTAATTCTTTCAGTTGTTTACAGAAAAATAAATCCACAGAATTATTCCTGTTACCTGTGTTGAAGATCCTAATAACTAAATAGGTGTAAATTTGGATAAGGTATAATAATTTGAAATAAGTAGTGCATGAAGTTTTAATGTCTGGTTTCTCTATAAAGCATAAATAGATTTTAAATACCTTATATCTGTGACTCAAAATGTCAAATTACAGTATGTATTGACAGTAGCTGTCTATGGCAGAGAGGCTATATTTGGTCTGCTATGAAGGATAATAAAGAATAAACTTTTTTTTTTCTGAAGAGTAAAGAATATTAAATAGAAATAATATCAGGGAAAAGAAAAACCTGGTCCCAAAATAAAAGGGCCATTTATTAAAGAGAACAATTTACTCTTTCTTGACAATAAACAGCATTATCCCTATTATTAGGAATAATATAATACCACCTCATTCTTATTATGTATTACAATCATGATGTATCTGTGAATACATATATAAAATACAGACACTGCATGGTGACTAGGCAATTTTGGAATAAATCCATAGACTAAGTCACAACATGCATAACTGTTTATATCTTAACTGCTCATTTATACCTGAACAAATTTGCACTAGGCATACTGCTAGTTTTCAAATGATATAATAAAAAATCTGGTGGCAGTACTATATTATTTTGCTGACTTACATTTGAGAAAAAAGCAGCTACCTGCTCCATCTATTTTAATATGGTTTATCCTGAATCTTATAAGAATACATGTATAGAAACTTAAAAGATCATACACTTCTCATGAGGAGACATTATTTGATCTGTGTCACTAGAGTGTATCTGCAAAACATTTTAACACTGCAAACATTAGAAATTTGAAGACTGGGCATGGGAAAAGGTTTATTCTCTACTACAATGATGCTGGTGTACTTCTACACAAGGCCTCTTAGTGACGTCAATCAATTGGAGGTAGGACTTTATCAATGAATTGCTTGACATCCATCATTTCCTGTTTGGAATAAAGTAATTTAATACGTAGTTACATAAATCAGAAATTAAATTCCCACTAAAACACCGCTAATCAAATCCATGGTGTGCATAGTTAAGATGAAATCATTTTTACTACAATTAAATAAGACATAAAGAGAAATAAGGCTCCAACAGAAATTTCAGAACATTTCCCATCATGATTATTGTACACTGAAAGGACAGCTCCCATCTAGCATCTAGTTCTGCATCTCCCTATGCTGGAACAAAATAAAAGACACGGGGGGTTGGGGGTAGCCAGGGAAGTTTAGAAGTGACAGTACCCACACCAAGAAGTCTCAGTATGTGTACAATTACTGACAACTAAGTATGAGTGACAAATTCTCTAATTTGTCTTCTACCATTCTCTAATTTGAATTGCATGTTAAATCCATAGCATTAACTATTTTGTGCCTTTTACAAGGAATTACATACAACTAACCATTTCATAGAGAGCATGTACCTAAGATGTGCCTAGGAAGATCTGAACATTAATATACCAAAGATTTACCAGAGAAGAAACATTCTCCTGTTAGCCTCTGGCACCTGGTTCAGTTTTCTCACCTCCCTCAAATTCACCTCCTGCTATCAGCTCTTATATATCTAGGCCTTATCTAGCCTCACAGTGACAAATATTAGCGATGCAGCTAACCTACAGCCTTATAATTAAGTCACTCAGAAAAGAGCCACAGTTTGAAAGGGTTCCATTTCACAATACTCTGAAGTCCCAAAAAGTTTCCTGTGAGATCACCTCCCACTATCCTACTTCTCCTCACTTTCTGCTACTATTCATTCAGTCCAGTCTTTGTAGACTCATCTACGGAGCTTTTAAGAAGCTCCAGGGTGTTTGTGATGCAAAGCCCATGAGGAAAACAGCTGTTCTAGAGACCTTCAGTCCCTCTTACACACACTAAGGGTTCCAGGACTTCCCCTGCCCTCTCTTTTCTGGATTCAATATTGTAATATTCTATATCAGCAGGGGAACACACTGGGTTCCCAGGTACCCTTGTCTTTTTGAATAAGTCATATTATCACCTCTTTCTCTGTCCCTAAAGCAAATGATTTAACCAGGCTGAATGGTTATAAAACTGTCAGTGTGACTATGTCACTATTTAGGAATCAATTTTTACTCTAGGTCTTTTCAAGCCTCCAAACCTATTCAGGCCGCCTTCATTCTTATCAAGTGACCACATCTCCTACTTGACTGAACAGATAAGAACATCTAGGCCGGGCCTGATGGCTCAAGCCTGTAGTCCCAGCACTTTGGGAGGCCAAGAGAGGCAGATCATGAGGTCAGGAGTTTGAGACCATCCTGGCCAAAACGGTGAAACCCTGTCTCTACAAAAATACAAAAACTTTGCTGGGCGTGGTGGTGGGTGCCTGTAGTCCCAGCTACTCAGGAGGCAGAGGCAGGAGAATCACTTGAACCCAGGAGGCGGAGGTTGCCGTGAGCCAAGACTGTGCCATTGCACTCCAACCTGGCAAGAGTGACATTCCATCTCAACAACAAAAAAAATATAAGCACATCTCATATGAGCTCCCAAGCACTCTCTTCTTCTCTCTCTCCATCTCCTGTTTATAGTCACCCGGCCCATCCTTTTCTATCTTGATTGAAAATGTTTTTCTTCTCTTTTAAGGCAAGCACTAAACATCTCAGGACTTTATTCTATTCTATGATCCCTCTGAGAATGCCCCTATCAATTATCTTCTCTTTACTGCATCTTCTTCCTTCCTCCTTCCACTCATAGGTCTTTCTCTGCTCCCATTAAAGAACAGATTTCCTACTCTTCCTACCAAAACTTTTTAAAAAGGTCTATACACGGTGCCTCTGCTTCCTCATTTCCCTATCCACTTTACACAATCCTTTGCATTTCGGATTTATCTATCCAAACATCCAAGGTCACAGGTGGCTTAATATTGGATATCTTCTTCCTAACCTATTTCTCTTTAACCCTTCCCTGAAACACATTACACATCTCCTCCCCACTCTGAAAATCTTTCCTCCCATCCTCTCAACACCTAACTCCTTTTATCATTAGGCTTAACTTAACGTGTCCCCTAAAGTTCTGTCCCCAAGTTTTTGTTCTTTTTTTTTTTTTCTGGAGACGGAGTCTCACTCTGTTGCCAGGCTGGAGTGCAGTGGTGCAATTTCAGCTCACTGCAACCTCCACCTCCCAGGTTCAAGCAATTCTCCTGTCTCAGCCTCCCAAGTAGCTGGGTACAGGGGCATGCCACCACGCCCAGCTAATTTTTTATTTTTAGTAGAGGCAGGGTTTCACTACGTTGACCAGGATGGTCTCAATCTCTTGACCTCCCAAAATGTTGACCTCCCAAAATTACAGGCATGAGCCACCACACCTGGCCCTGAGCTTTTCTTCTTATGATGCTTTCTCAAGATCATTCTTCATTGATCAATAATATTAGGAATTATTTTCAAATCTCCATTTCCTGGCTTGAACTTCAGACAAGTATTTCCAACATCCTATATTGATATCATGGGGGCACATCAATCTCAATACAAACACTAAACTCAGTATTATCTCCTTCCTTTACTCTAAAACTGTTTCTTACACCTACTTTTTATGATGGCAACACAGCGAGAACTCTCAGGCCCTTTTCATACTTCCTTGGTTGCTACACCCCATAGAATTAATCTCTAGATCCTACTGGATCACCTGTCTCCAGATCACATCTCACTTCAACCAAAAACATCGATAGCTTCCTGCTGCCTAGAGATTCAGTCCCTTCTCAGCACAGAGAGTCTCTGTCTTCTGTCCTATGACACTCAGCTATTCCTAAGACACTAGTCAGACTGAATGGCTTGCTCTTCCTGGCCTGCAGTTCTTTCTCTGCTAACCAAATCCCAACATTTTTCAAAATCTAGCTGTTTCATTATGGTCTCAGTGCCTCCTAAGATAAAAGTAATCTTTTCTCAGTTTTTCAGGGCACTTCCTGTTGTTTATTTTATTTTCCAAGGGTACTTTTTAAAGTTTCTAATCCAATACATGTCACTTTCTGCTATCCATACAGTTACTTAGACATGCATCTTTCTATTAAATTTTAATTTATCTTAAATTTTAATGAAAGAGAATGTTTATTATTCATCTCTGAATTATGCACAATGGCTGCAATAGCCAATCAGTAGATATTTGTTGAATTAAGTTGAACACACACTCATCTAATGACCTGATAACTTATGATCCAACGTGAATTAACTCATTTAAATCCCCAAGCATTCAAATGTTACTTTTCTTGAAAATAACTGAAAACAGTTGCAAATATGGTGCTGATCACTGCTTCCAGACACCTACCTGTTGACATGAACTGTGCATCATACCTTCATAGGTTTTAAAGGTCACATTGGCTGGATTCACCAATGTTTTTAGTTTTTCAACCGTAAGAGAACCAAACATCAGGGGAACTAAAGGGTCACAATCTCCGTGGCACTGAAGAATAGAAATATCTCTATTGGCACCATTGATAGGCCCCTGCAAAAAGCAAAAGAAGAAATAGTATTATTTTTGTAAAGGTATAGGATACTATGCCAGGCATTTAATGTTCTACATAAATATGCATGCATATATAACATATTAGAAGTTATATTCGGCCAACAGAATAAAATTCCTTCTGTCCGCATACTCACCACATTCCTTTATTTAACTTCCACAGGATCTATGACCACCTTGCCTCATATTATAATATATACCTTCCCAGTGAATGAGTTCCTTGAAGCGTATTAGATTTTCTGCTTTGTTTGCTTTAGTTGGTTGTTTTAGTGCTTGGAGTTGCTGTTTTATTGTTACCTTTTTTTTTTTTAAAGACAGTCTTACTCTGTCGCCCAGGCTGGAGTGAAGTGGCACAACTGTGACTCACTGCAACCTCCACCTCCTAGGTTCAAGTGATTTTCGTGCTTCAGCCTCCCAACTAGCTAGCATCAGAGGCGTGCACCACCACGCCCAGCTAATTTTTGTATTTTTAATAGATATGGGGTTTCACCATGTTGGCCAGGCTGGTCTCAAACTCCTGATCTGAGGTGATCTGCCTGCCTTGGCCTCCCAAAGTGCTGGGATTATAGGCATGAGCCACTGTGCCTAGACTAAAAATAAATATTATTTCTATGGGTTAAAAAGAGTCCTCATTTTCATAAATATCCTAAAATGTATCAAATCCTTCAAATCTAAAATTTGTGACAATAAGGTTTCTTTCTAATTCCATTCTATGTATTCCACAATAAAGACAGTATAGCATATTAATGCCTAGTAATACATCACAAAAGTCTAAGAAAATTCTTTTTAACAAAAAATGAGTGCTGTAAGTGAACGACTCTGGGTGATGGTGATGTGTCAGTGCAGGTTCACTGACTGCAGCAAATGCATGACTGTGGAAGTGGGGATGCTGATGGTGGGGAAGCTGTGCACGTGGGGGACAGGAGGTAGACAGTAACTCTACCTTCTGCTCAGTTTTGCTGTGAATTTAAAACTTCTCTAAAAAATAAAGTTTATTAGGCAGGGCAGTGGCTCATGCCTGTAATCCCAGTACTTTGGTAGGCCAAGGCAGGCAGATCTCGTGTTAGTCAGGAGATGGAAACCATCCTGGCTAACACGGTAAAATCCTGTCTCTACTAAAAATACAAAAAATTACCTAGGCGTCGTGGTACACACCTGTAGTCCCAGCTACTCAGGAGGCTAAGGCAGGAGAATCGCTTGAACCCAGGAGGTGGAGGTTGCAGTGAGGTGAGATCATGCTACTGTACTCCAGCCTAGGTAAGAGCGAGACTCTGTCTCAAAAAAATAAAAATAAAGTTTATTAATAAAAAAAAAAGATGACTTTATCGCCAACATTATCTGCTAGCTACCTTTAGCTCAGTAATCTCATATTGAGTGCGTCAACCAAGTTACCTGTGGAAATGATGCCCGAAGTGGAAGCCAGCAACTGAGTGCAGTGACACCCGCCAGTTTCTGCTGCATGGTAAGGGCAGTATATAAAGATAAAGCTCCTCCCTGAAAAGACAAGCAGGGAAAGTCAATGCAGCACACATGCTACCAACAGCAATTTAGGGGATTTCTTATTACTAATGATATCCATAAAACAATCAAACTCGGTGGCTGATGTCAAATCAAATCAGGCAAATAGTGGAAATAAAAACACACCCCACCATGTCCTGAAGGATTCGGTTCTCTTCACCAGAGAACATACTTACTTCCTTTCCAATGAGACATAGTTTGTAGCATCAGAAACTGCTACACTTAATATTCTGAATTTATATTTTCTCCTTTGCAGAGTTTTAGGTATAAAATCCAATCTGGTCTTAAACTGGTCTTTCTTTTCTTTTTTTCTCTCTCTGCTCTCTCTCTTTTTTTGACGGAGTTTCGCTCTTGTCGCCCAGGCTGGAGTGCATGGCGTGATCTCAGCTCACCGCAACCTCTGCCTCCGGGTTCAAGCGATTCCCCTGCCTCAATCTCCCAGGCAGCCAAGATTACAGGCATGCAGCACTATGCCCAGGTAATTTTTTATTTTTAGTAGAGACAGGGTTTCTCCATGTTGATCAGGCTGGTCTCCAACTCCCAATCTCAGGTGATCTGCCTGCCTTGGCCTCCCAAAGTGCTGGGATTACAGGCGTGAGCCACCACGTCCAGCCCTTAAATTGGTATTACTTTCTAAATGAGAATTTAAGATAGTAAGAACTACTTAGCAGACACCTGCAGACTATCTGCCTACCCAGTTCACAACACCCTGCATTCTGGAAGCTGCACTGCTGCCAGCTATCCAGGACCCCCATCACTCTGACTATGCCATGGGTCACTGCAACACATGAAAACATGAGAGCCTTTTTCTTCCCAGACAGTGATGTTCTTTCTCCCAGCTCTGAGGAAATAGGATTCGGTGACCACCAGTCACACTCTGTGGGTGGACCTTTAACATGTAAACTCAAGAGGTGGAAAACCAATAGACTGCAAAAAGCCAAGATGGCCAACTGTTGATGGAAAGGTAAACAAAGCAGATAAACAAAGAAACAGAGATGAGAAGCTAGAGCATCTGGAGACTGGTTCCATGGCAAACAGCTGACATGCTGCAATAGCCATGCAAGGTCCGTATGAGGAAGCAGTGTCTGAGGAGAAAGTACAGAAGGCAGGGGTAAAGTACAGAGAAGAAGAAAGATGCCCAAAATAAACACCACATATTTATACCTAAACCTGTAGTAGTGAAGGCAAAGGGAAGAAATTCTCTTGTCTTCTGCTTTACTGTTCTTACCAGTAGTCTCCTCCTAGAGACGGGACTCATGCCTGTGTTATCAGAGTTCTAATTAATTAAAAGGATCCACTGGGTTAGCTTAGAAATTTAATTACATGGGTATTATAGTTATTTTAAGAAGAAATTAATTAGTTCCAGTATATTCAAACTTAATTAAACTACTCCACAGAAAGGATTAAAGCACAGACTTCTAGATAAATATACTGATGGTACTGACATTCCACCCAAATTTTATCTTACCTGAGAAAATCCTCCCAAAATAATTCTGTTTGAAGGAATGCCATTCTTCACTTCTTGATCAATCAAAGCTTTTACTAAAAACAACATAAAAGTTAGTCAGCTATACTTTCAAAGTTAAGTCCGTTGATAAACTTTAGGAAAAAATTAATAGAAAAGCACAATTATTTTTAAGGTGGAAATGAGTGAAAAACTCAAAGCACTTCATTAAAATACAAAATTAGAATGTATTCTCATATGCCAACAGTGAACAATGTGAAAAGGAAATTTTTTAAAAATTCCATTTACAATAGCCACACATAAAAAATTAAATACCTAGGAATTAACCAAAGAAGCGAAAGATCCCTATAATGAAAACTATAAAACACTGATGAAAGAGGACACCAAAAAAATGAAAATATTCCATGTTCGTGGATAGAAGAACCGATAACAATATTGTTATTGTTCATGAATTCTTCTATTCCATGAACATGGAATTTTTTTCCATACTGCCCAAAGCAATCTACAGATTCAACACAATCTCTATGAAAATATCAATGACAGTCTTCACAGAGATAGAAAAACAATCCTGAAATTTATATGGAATCACAAAAGACTCATAGTAGCCAAAGCTACCCTAAGTAAAAAAAAATAAAACTAGAGGAATCACATTAATTGACTTCAAATTATACTACAGAGCTATAGTAACCAAAACTGCATGGTACTGGCATAAAAACAGACACATAGATCAATGGAACAGAACAGAGAACCCAGAAACAAATCCACACATCTACAGTGAACTAAACAGTTTAAAACTTAGCCAAGCATGGTGGCACATGGCCTGTAGTCCCAGCTACTCAGTAGCTGAGGTGGGAGAGTTGCTGAAGACCAGGAATTTGAGGCTGCAGTGAGCTATGATCCCCAACTGTACTCCAACCTGGGCGACTGTGTCTCTAAATAAATATGTAAATAAAAAATTACCAAAAACCAAAATAATTCTCAGCCACCCTGTCTCGCCATTGCTGCCCACATCCACCTACACCCACCCACACTCAGGAGTCACCAACCAGATTACCCTGAAGGCAATCCCAGTCCTCATATTATTCTACTTGTAACTATTTCAGTACACATGTATAAAATAAAAGGACATTCCTGTGCATTTCTTTTTCTTTTTTTTTTTCTGAGACGGAGTTCCGCCCTTGTTGCCCAGGCTGGGGTGCAATGGTGCAATCTTGGCTCAGCACAACCTCTGCCTCCCGGGTTCAAGAAACTCTCCTGCCTCAGCCTCCTGAGTAGCTAGGATTACAGGTGCATGCTCCCATGCCTGGCTAATTTTTTTGTATTTTTAGTAGAGATGGGGTTTCACCACATTAGGCAGGCTGGTCTCTAGCCCCGACCTCAGGTGATCCACCCACCTCAGCCTTCCAAAGTGCTGGGGTTACAAGCGTGAGCCACTGCATCTGGCTACATAGTCACTGTTTATTATCATTACACTTATTTTTTTTTATGTTTTCATTATTTAATGTAAATTTTATCTTATATTTACTATTAAAAGTTTGATTGTAAAAGGTATTAATATTTTATCACATACATCGTAAGCAATCACTGCTTCTTCAACATTTGTTCCAGCATGAAGAAAACTTAGACCATCCCTTCATTTTAATTTTTTTCCAGTTTAAGTACTTCTTTGCTTCTTGTAATGACTGGACTTAGCTTTGTTTACTAAACGAGTGGTCTTTCTTTTCAAAGGTAAATTGAGTCAATCTGTGTTTAACAACACTGTAATTATGAGTGCTTGTTCACAGAATTAATACATAAATTAATGCCTTTTCATATCCTTCACATCTAGCTTTTTAACCTTAAGTTAATATCCATATGTATGAGAACTAAATGTAATCTGGTATGCTTAGTCAACTTAATGATTGGACAATAACAATATGAACTACATTGGATTCACTGTTACTTCCTCTTTGTTCCTGCAGTGAAAACAGTATTTTCTTATGTCTGATTTCTCTCAATCCCTCAGTAAATGAAGACCTAACTAGAACAATATACTGTCCCATTTTAAATTCAAACAAAGACTCAAGTTTGACAACAGATTCATGGTAATGTCATTTTAAAAGAGAGATCCAATGAACACAGATAAACATCAAAGTCTTCACCACGGCACATTACACTTATTATATTATTATTCTCACTGTTATTCCAAGTCTCCTTAATGAAAATAACTGGCAAAAACTACTAAACATTTTGCTGTTTTCTCCATTTTCCCATGTAAATCAAAGCAAAATTATTATATGTCTGATAGAGTTTACAGGTGTGAGTTACAGTTACAAGTGTAAGCCACCGTGCCAGGCCCAAATGTGTAATTTTTAACCAGTACCAATATGATTACTGAATCTAAAAACATTTAAGAATGCTTTTGGCTTTATAAACATTTTCTGTACTTACTGTTTTCTGCAGCCTGTTTAATCCCAGGTTCATCCTCCTGTGAATCTGGTGAAAGCCCAATAATATCAAACCTGTAAAATAAGGCAAATCTAAAAAGCATCTTTTGATTCTAAAAAAATCTATTATAATAAGTATATTTTACTACATTCATGGTAGCTTGGATTAAAGGGATAATCAGAAATACGTATTTTTTATTTTTTTTGAGACAAAATCTTGCTCTGTTACTCAGTGAAGTGCAGTGGTACAATCTCAGTTCACTGCAGCCTCCCCTTCCCAGGTTCAGGCGATTCTCCTGTCTTAGTCTCCTGGGTAGCTGAGACTACAGGGACATGCCACCACGCCTGGCTAATTTTTATATTTTTAGTAGAGACGGGTTTCGCTATGCTAGCCAGGCTGGTATTAAACTCCTGACCTCAGCTGATCCACCCGCCTCAACTTCCCAAAGTGCTGGGTTTACAGGTGTGAACCACCACGCCTGGCTAAAGTCAACATTTTTTTTTTTTTGAGATTGGTCTCCCTCTGTTGCCAGGCTGGATGCAGTAGCGTGATCCTGGCTCATGGGTTCAAGTGATTCTCTTGCCTCAGCCTCCCAAGTAGCTGGGAATACAGGCATGTGCTACCATGCCTGGCTAATTTTTGTATTTTTAGTATGGACAAGGTTTCACCATGTTGGCCAGGATGATCTTGATCTCTTGACCTTGTGGATCCACCTGCCCCAATCTCCCAAAGTGCTGGGATTACAGGCGTGAGCCACTGCGCCCAGCCCTAGAGTCATCATTTTTTTTTTGAGACAGAGTCTTGCTCTGTCACCAGGCAGGAGTGCAATGGTGCAATCTCGGCTCACTGCAACCTCTGCCTCCTGGGTTCAAGTGATTCTTTGGCCTCAGCCTCCCAACCTGATGGTAGGAATCTCAGAGAACAGTCAGGAAAAATCAGAGTCTGGAAGTAGCACAGAGAAACAAAAAACTGACCCTACACTGGGACCGTGAGAATATCTTCAGAGGGCTGAAAGAGAAGTGGTTTCCTTAAAAACAACCCAGAGAGACAAGAAATTGGAAAGGTGAAGAGGCTGTGGCTTAATCGGGGTCATCTGAATGTTGGGTTACTAAAATCAACAAAGGTTTATCAAGCAGCAGAAGAGAGCCTCACACATGATTTTTATTCACACCTTCTCGCCTATTTCTCTACCTGTTTGTACAGCTCCTTAAGTTTACCCCTAAATCTACAGCATAAAAATGTAAATAAGCAAAAGTTAACTATGCAACTTTGCAAGTTAAAAAACAGCTAAATAAAAACTGCTGTACACAAAAGCGTTTCTTGTAACATTACATAAAATAAACAATATAATGTTCTTATTAAGTAAATTGTCACTTACCATGAAGGCATAGCCATGTTCATATTTAGTGTAACAGGCATAACAGGCCTATAAGGAAAAGAAAAAATAGCAAAATCAGAATAACAAAGCACACAAACTGACAAATTCCACTAATCTAAAACAGAGAATGACTTGAGACCTACACAATACTATACAGTTTTAATATATAAACTGTTTACTTCATCCACACCTGTACAAGTCTGCTCTCCATGCCTCTCCAAATGTGTTCTCAAGACAGAGCAACAGCAACAAAGGACTAAGCTTGACAAATACATTTTCCCTTCTCACACCCTTCCTTACTACTTTTAACTTCTCAGACATGAGAAGAGAAACTGGAAACCAAGACAGTTGGAAATGTATAAAATATGAGATTCTGGTATGGGACTAAGGACAATGAGTGATTTATTACACTGATACTGTAACCTCAAAGCCTATATGCTCAGATTGCACTTTTGCTGATTTTCTAGTTCTTAGCTGTGTACTCACTTAATTAAGAGACCTCTAAATAAATAAGGGGAATCCAAAATTTGCCTAACTGTCCATTACAGCCATTCAAATCTATGATGGGCCAGGCGCAGTGGATCACGCCTATAATCCCGGCACTTTGGGAGGCAAAGGCAGGCAGATCACGAAGTCAGGAGTTCGAGCCCAGCTTGGCCAATATGGTGAAAATACAAAAATCTGACAGGAGTGGTGGCACATGCCTGTAGTCCCAGCTACTTAGGAGCCTAAGGCAGAAGAATCGTTTGAACTTGGGAGGCAGAGGTTGCAGTGATTCGAGATCGAGTGCCACCGCACTCCAGCCTGGGCAACAGAGCAGGACTCCTTCTTAAAAAAAAAAATTCTGTCTCTGGCTTGAGCAGAATAATACAGGACATAGCAACCCTAGCCACAGTATTCACTGTAGCCTACAGAGGTAAGACAGACCCTCTATTTCAGGATTTAAAAAGGAAGAAATGTTTTCTTATCCTCTTCTCAGCTGTTCTTCTTCCCATTCCCTCTTTCATGTTCATGTATCTGTCCCAACTTTACTGCTACTCCCACTTCTGAGGATGATTACTAACTTATATGAGTATGTCCAATCCCTCTGGTCTTCTTTCTCCATGGCTACTGCTTATCAGCAAACTTTTGATCTAAAACAAGGGTGTCCAATCACTTGGTTTCCTTGGGCTACATTGAAAGAAGAATTGTCTTGGGTCGCATATAAAAATACATCAACACTTAACAAGAGCTGATGAGCTAAAATTAAAATAAAATAATATCTAAAAATAGCAAAAAAAAATCTCATGTTTTCAGAAAGCTTACAATTTGTACTGGGCTGCATTCAAAGCTGACCTGGGCCACAGGTTGGACAAGCTGGACCCAATGTGCCAATCTTATTGATTTTCTAAGTTTGTTCAAAACTTACTAATTTCTTTTTGACATCCACAAATACTTTCAGAGCCAGAATTCAAAACCAAACCTATCATTTTCCAAAGTCTGTGTTCTTTCCACAGTACAACACGTTGCCTCTAAATGATAAAATTAAAGAGTGGTTTCAACATAATAAAGATTTCTCACAAATCTAACAGGTAATTCCCCTTCAGAGATATCCTGGTGATATCCTAGAACTTTATGGGTATTTGTATATGTAAAATAATTTTTCTGGGAGGCCAAGGCAGGTGGATCACCTGATGTCAGCCATTTGAGACTAACCTGGCCAACATGGTGAAATCCTGTGTCTACTAAAATTATAAAAATTAGCTGGGCATGGTGGCACACATGTGTAATCCCAGCTACTCAGGAGGCTGAAGCAGGAGACTCGCTAGAACCCAGGAGGTGGAGGTTGCAGTGAGCCAAGATCACACCACTGCACTCCAGCCTGGGTGACAGAGCGAGACTCCATCTCAAAAATAAATAAATAAAAATAATATTTTTTCTGGCCTTAAAGAGAGAAATACTTTAAATTGCTTAACAAAAGAGAAAATGTAAAAAAAATCAATTTAAGAAATTATTTTATGAAGTTTTAAGGAATTCAACTAAACTTCATTTTTAAACAATATTTAAATAATAAAAATTAATTATATTTAAATACTTTTCTGGAAAGGTAAAACAATGACAATTGCTCCTCTCTAGACTCTGAATTACAAGCCTGAAGATCAGAAATACTCACGCATGCGGGCAGATATATTTGATATGTGAACTTCTGATACCTGCAAAGGCTTCTGCCCATCCGTGCCTAGTGGAAAAATCATTTGAATAATGCTATTATATACTGTTTTAAATCCCAATAAGTTAGTAGTAGAACAATACTTTAAAAACCTGTGAAGATAAAGGTAAATAGTACTTTAAAAAACTGTGAAGATAAAAATATCTTTAAAATGTGGGTCCTCTGGCTCACGCCTGTAATCCCAACACTTTGGGAGGCCGAGGTGGGCAGATCACGAGGTCAAGAGATCGAGACCATCCTGACCAACATGGTGAAACCCTGTCTCTACTAAAAATACAAAAATTAGCTGGGCGTGGTGGTGCACACCTGTAGTCCTAGCTACTCGGGAGGCTGAGGTAGGAGAATTGCTTGAACTCGGGAGGCGGAGGTTACAGTGAGCTACACTCCAGCCTGGCGTGAGACTCTGTCTCAAAAAAAACAAAAGAAATGTGGGTCCTCAATACTATTAAAACAACACCATGAATCTAAAAACAACCCAACAGTTAGTTTAGTTTTACCTAGGGATAAAGATGATTTCTCAGATTTCTGAACAGTAATGTATGCCCCTTCAGATATTTCCACAGGGCTTCAAATTTTCCAAAGTAGAGATATATTTTTAAAATCTCTTGATACAATATGTTTATAAAGTAGGCAAGACAAATAATATAATTTACATTTTACATTAAAAAAAAAAGCCTCGGCCGGGCACAGTGGCTCACGCCTATAATCCCAGCGCTTTGGGAGGCCAAGGCAGGCAGATCACGAGATCAGGAGTTCAAGACCAGCCTGGCCAACCCAGTGAAACCCTATCTATACTAAAAATCTAAAAATCGCCTTTGACAAAATTCAACAGGCTTTTATGCTAAAAACCCTCAATAAACTCGGTATTGATGGAACGTATCTCAAAATAATAAAAGCTATTTATAACAAACCAACAGCCAATATCATACTGAATGGGCAAAAACTGGAAGCATTCCCTTTGAAATCTGGCACTAGACGAGGATGCCCTCTCTTACCACTCCAATTCAATATAGTACTGGAAGTTCTAGCCAGAGCAATCAGGCAAGAAAAAGAAATAAAGGGTATTCGATTAGGAAAGGAGAAAGCCAAATTGTCTCCATTTGCAGACGGCATGATAGTATATCTAGAAGACCCCATTGCCTCAGCCCAGAAAGTCCTGAAACTCATAAGCAACTTCAGCAAAGTCTCAGGATATAAAATCAATGTGCAAAAATCACAAGCATTCCTATACACCAATAACAGACTTAAAGAGAGCCAAATCAAGAACGAACTGCCATTCGCAATTGCTACAAAGAGAATAAAATACCTAGGAATACAACTCACAAGGAATGTAAGGGACCTCTTCAAGGAGAACTACAAACCACTGCTCAACAAAATCAGAGAGGACATAAACAGATGGAGAAACAGTCCATGTTCATGGTTAGGAAGAATCAATATCGTGAAAATGGCCATACTGCCCAAAGTAATTTATAGAATCAATGCTATCCCCATCAAGCTACCAATGACTTTCTTCACAGAACTGGAAAAAAACACCATGAACTTCATAGGGAACCAAAAGAGAGCCTGCATAGCCAAGTCAATTCTAAGCAAGAAGAACACAGCAGGAGGCATCACACTACTGGACTTCAAACTATACTACAAGGCTACAGTAATCAAAACAGCATGATACTGGTACCAAAACAGAGATATAGACCAATGGAACAGAACAGAGGCATCGGAGGCAACACAGCATATCTACAACCATACAATATTTGATAAACCTGACAAAAACAAGCAATGGGGAAAGGACTCCCTGTTTAATAAATGGTGTTGGGAAAACTGGCTAGCCATGTGCAGAAAGCAGAAACTGGACCCCTTCCTGATACCTTACACTAAAATTAACTCCAGATGGATTAAAGATTTAAACATAAGACCTGGCACCATAAAGACCCTAGAAGAAAATCTAGGTAAAACCATTCAGGACATAGGAGTAGGCAAGGACTTCATGACCAAAACACCAAAAGCATTGGCAGCAAAAGCCAAAATAGACAAATGGGACCTAATCAAACTCCACAGCTTCTGCACGGTAAAAGAACCAGTCACTAGAGTGAATCAGCAACCAACAGAATGGGAAAAAATTTTTGCAGTTTACCCATGTGACAAAGGGCTGATATCCAGAATTTACAAAGAACTCAAACAGACTTACAAGAAAAAAACAAACAAGCCCATTCAAAAATGGGCAAAAGATATGAACAGACACTTTACAAAAGAAGACATACATGAGGCCAACAAACATATGAAAAAATGCTCATCATCACTGGTCATCAGAGAAATGCAAATCAAAACTACATTGAGATACCATCTCACACCAGTTAGAATGGTGATCATTAAAAAATCTGGAGACAACAGAACCTGGAGAGGATGTGGAGAAATAAAAACACTTTTACACTGTTGGTGGGAGTGCAAATTAGTTCAACCATTGTGGAAAACAGTGTGGCGATTCCTCAAAGACCTAGAAATAGAAATTCCATTTGACCCAGCAATCCCATTACTGGGTATATATCCAAAGGACTATAAATCGTTCTACTATAAGGACACATGCACACGAATGTTCACTGCAGCACTGTTTACAATAGCAAAGACCTGGAACAAACCCAAATGCCCATCGATGATAGACTGGACTGGAAAAATGTGTAACATATACACCATGGATTGTTATGCAGCAATCAAAAACGATGAGTTCGTGTCCTTTGTAGGGACATCGATGAATCTGGAGAACATCATTCTCAGCAAACTGACACAAGAACAAAATGAAATACTGCACATTCTCACTCATAGGTGGGTGACGAACAATGAGAACACATGAACACATGGAGGGGAACACTACACAATGGGGTCTATTGGGGGGAATAGGGGAGGGACAGCGGCGGGGGGGAGGGACAGCGGCGGTGGGGAGCTGGGGAGGGATAGCATGGGAAGAAACGCCAGATGTGGGTGAAGGGGAGGAAGACAGCAAATCACACTGCCACGTGTATACCTATGCAACTATCTTGCATGTTCTGCAAATGTACCCCAAAACCTGAAATGCAATAAAAAAATAAAAATAAATGCTAGCTGCAATTAAAAAAAAAATCTAAAAACCAGCTATTCCTTTCAAACTGCCAATGATGTTTTTCACAAAATTAAAAAACAATGTTTTAAAATTCACATGGAACCAAAATGAAGCACGTCCATTTGTTTACATGTTATCTATGGTTAATTTTCATCCTGAGTGGCTGACTAGCTGCAACAGAGATCTTCTGGCTGGCAAAGGCTAAAATGTTGACTCCTTTAGTCCTTTACAGAAAACAATTACTGACCACTCTTGTGAAATATTTTTTGATATGCAGATACTTCTCAACTTAAGGAGGATTTACATCATGATAAATCCATCACAAAGTGAAAAAATCATAAATTTAGCCATAATAAGCTGGGAACTCTTTGTTTATTCATATTATGAAAAATTGAGTTTTCCTTTTTTCTTTGTTTCTTTTTTTTTTTGAGACCGAGTCTTGCTTTGTTGACCAGGCTGGAGTGCAATTGTGCGATCTTGGCTCACTGCAATCTCTGCCTCCCAGGTTCAAGCAATTCTCCTGCCTTAGCCTCACAAGTAGCTGGGATTACAGGCGTGGGTCACCACACCAGGCTGAAAAATCGAGCTTTTCATTATAATTTTTAGCTTGCATGAGTTAGAACTGTATTTGCTTAGACTAATATTCCTAAAATTATAATATCTGTCATTTGATTTTTCTGTGAGTTCTTATGGGCTACATGATAACATTCAAATACAGAGCACAGCAATCATTTCTTCACTATGTGATCTTAACCTAGTTTATCAGAGGTGTCTTCAACTTCTATCTCTGATTTTAAAATATCCTTCTAGACTAATTTAACAATATATATGCAAGGGCCTAATTTTTTAAAAGACTTTTTGTGACATTACCATTTTAAGAAGCTTTTTCTAAGGAAAAAAATGTCTGCAAATATTCATTTGTAAGAATGTACAACGAGAAATCTACATGAAAAAAACTGAAATGCCAAAATGTTCAGAAAAAAGAATATTTGATAAATTAGAATTCCAGCAATTTAAATGGATGAGATCAGCAGTGAGCTGCAGGTAGCCCAGAAAAGGCCACACTCAGCCAAATCTGGTGACCTTTAGCTGAATAGAGATACACCTCAACTTACAATGGGGTCACGTCTGGCAAAGCCGAAAAGTTGAGGGGCATACCGATGTTTTGCTTTCATGCCATTGTAAAGTTGAAAAATCTTAAGTCTAACCACTGTAAATTGGGGACCATGTATACTTTAGTAGTTAGGTCTGGTGGGTAGAGAATTTATCAGTTGCTTTGCTTTGTAACTGTTAAGCAGTTCTAAACTCAGATTGGTTTGGTGTAAGAACTTTTGAGTTGGATTTGCTATTTTTGAAAACTGTATTGGATTATAATATAGTCAAGTATTCAAATGTTAAATGTTCAAGTTGGGCTGGCACAGTGGCTCACGCCTGTAATCCCAGAACTTTGGGAGGCTGAGGTGGGTGGATCACTTGAGGTCAGGAGTTTGAGACCAGTCTGGCCAATATACTGAAACCCCTTCTCTATTAAAAATACAAAAAATTAGCCAGACATGGCAGCACACACCTGTAATACCAGCTACTCAGGAGGCTAAGGCAGAAGAATCGCTGAAACCCTGCAGGCAGAGGTTACAATGAGCCAAGATCGCGCCACTGCACTCCAGCCTGGGCGACAGAGTGAGACCCCATCTCAAAAATAAGTAAATAAATAAAATTAAATTAAAATAAAGATCCCTGGCCAGGCACAATGGCTCACCCCTATAATCTCAGCACTTTGGGAGGCGGAGGTGTGTATATCACTTGAGGTCAGGAGTTCAAGACTAGCCTGGCCAACATGGTGAAACCCTGTCTCTACTAAAAATGCAAAAATTAGCCAGGCATGGCAGTGGACACCTGTAATCCAAGCTACTCTGGAGGC